AGAAATGAAAACAACAGGGAAAAAATCATGGGGGAAAATGAAATAAGAAGCACCAAATATGATCTAAGCACCCAATGTCAGGATTTGCGTGATGTGTATGGGCCGCAATATATTTTTTCCTGTCTGTTTTGATTTCCATGCTTGAAGAAAACAAAAGACTTCAGAATCCATATTGTTCATTCTAATCTTTAGCCTATTCAGGACGGCTACGCAGACCATTGAAGCGAACTTTTCACAATTGACGAGTACCTCCCATCGTAACGAAATGGAAATGAAAGTTCGGAGTTCGAGACGCAATTCTTCTCCAATATGTCTATGAACTTGACAAAAAGAAACGTTTCAAAAACACTGCCCCTCATGAATCCCCATGATGACGAATATCGTTGTAGACAAGAATACATTGCACGCTTAACCACTGTCGATTTGATGATTATTTAGTCTTGATTATATTATGGTGGAGATCTCAAATGTTTGGTTTTCTAAGGTTTATTCCAAATTAGATGAAAATATGGCAGTTAGAATAAAAATTATTATTTGTTAATTTGTTTCGACCATTTCTTTATTGACAGCCTTGATCCCCGTTACCACAGTGAATCTGAATTTTCATCACAAGGAATTAAAATTTTATTGATATCCCTCCGCTCGAGAAAACTACGTAAGTAATGTTATCTTTACGTCTAACTATGGATAATTTTCCAGGAAAATAGGCAATAAGAGTTCTCAAGAGAAAATCGAATTTTAACAAATTATTTCTCAACTAAATTTGAATTTCGGCATTATAATCCTCAATTGTAGCTGCAGACTGTCTTTCTGATGTCACCGGCCAAATTATGAATTTGACGCTTGTGTAGTTAATTGCTAATTTAAAAGGAATTTAATGGGTGTGCAATGCTTTTGTTTAAATAACCAGCTGCCAACAGAGTTTTTCACTATTCAACAGAAATTCCTGTCACGTCCAAAATTTTCTCTGAATCTGAGTGATTCCACTTTACAACGAAGAAGTTCAAAAGAGAAAAAAAGGACTGAGAAAATTTCACGCTGGATGATGCTTAGCAAACAGATCCAAGCCTTTTTCTTTTAAATTCATCGATTCAGGAATAGATGGAGAGATTATAGTAACATCAAATTTCGGTAAGAAAAAAGGAAGCGGCTTCCTATTCAAAGGCTACCGCGACACTGATATTCGTATTGTGCTTCACAGTAATTCTCTGTTCAGTTTCGGACTGTTCACCACCTAAACTTGAATGCAACAAAAGTATTAATAATTTAAAAGAAAGCTCTAAATTGTGCGAAATTTCGGCAAATTATTGATAAAGAAAATGGTTTTAACCGACGCACTTTTGTTCTGACGAATCATATGCCATGACCAATCACGGGACGCACAGCGTTTAGTCCGTTTTGTGATGAACATGGGTTTCTTTTGTGGATTATAAACTTCCTTCTAAACAAAGCACAAAAGATAACCTGTGTAACTGAAGAGGTAACAGCAGTTATTTCTCATAGCAGGCCTTCCATTTTCTACGCGATAGATTATTTTCACGGAAATCAGTCCACAAGCCTGAACGTAAAACACACGGTGATAAAACTGAGTTTAACAAAATGAATGTAAGTAACTTTGAGGATGCATTTAACAATTCCTCCAAATCAGGGTTTTTTGGCCCAAGCATAACGAAATTCAAATGGGACTCAAAGCAAACACTTTCGCTTCAGCTCACCATTGGCGCAACAGCCGTTGCTTGTCCATGGATCATATTTCTAAACATGTTAGTGATCTTAGCAATCAAGAAAGTAAGAGAGCTACAGAAAAACTCAAATATTCTGATTGCTAATTTGGCCGTGACTGATCTTTTAGTTGGCGCAGTTTCTATGCCACTTTCAATCGCAATGGATGCACTGATTCTTCGGGGAACTGTACCACGCAGCACAATCTATCTGATGGGTGAAATCGGTCTCTCTGTAATGATCACTTTATATATTACCTCCTACCACCATTTATTGCTGATAGCTTGGGAGAGGTATGTGGCGATAGTTAAATGGACAGAGTACAAAGTGTTAGTCACAAAAGGACGCATAAAGAAGTACACTTTAATCGCTTGGATGGACAGCGTCACAAAAGTGGCTCTATATCGAGCATTAGTTTTCGCTAAAGTTCCCCAAGAGGTTCTACTTGTGATGAATCTTGCGATCAACTTCAGCTGGCTCACTGAAACGTTAACGGTGGTATATTTTTATCGCATGATTTATATCGAGGTACGGAGGCAAAACAGATGTCAAATCAGCCCATTGAGTGCTCTAATTAAAGCAAAAATGGAAAGGAAACTTGCCTACACTGCGTTTCTGCTGTTAATAGCCGCTTTAATCTGTTGTTTTCCGATACTAGTAGTCATGACCTCGGTATCATACTCACCAGTTTTTCGCACGTATTCAGCTTTGCGATGGGCATATATCGGGATTCAAATAAACTCTCTAGCGAATCCCGTCCTATATTTCTATAGAAACAAACGTTACAGGAAAGCTCTGCTACAAATGATAGGATTGGAGAAGACACAGGAAATCGAGCGAGTAGATCCCAAAGGGCGTTGTGCAAGACAGAACCGTTGCACCGTGGAGCTTGTGGACACCGAAGGAGCTCTAAGCCTCAAACGATCATACTCATTTCCGAAGCAGACTCTTGGACCGAGGAGCACGAGAGTGTCAAAAACCACAACGATGGAAAGAAAAATATCTGCTCCATGTTTGACGATAATAGAAAGCTTGCAAAGCGGGACATGGTATGGAGATGGAGATGGTATGACGCAGATAGAAAATATTCCATTTAAGACAACATCAGAATTTGTCCATCCTGATAACCAAACCATGGGCTCACATCACCACGAAACGATGAGGTCAAAGTTTTTAGATGGCGCGAACGAGTGAGACATCGAGTTGAACACGAGAAGAGAAATTTCATACCCACAAGCAACCATGTATTATTTTGTTCATCATATAAATACAATGGCCCTTTATTGACAAGAAAAGTCGACTCTAATAATGAAAGAAAATTAAAGGATTGACAAATCCCGAGAAAAAATCGTAATGTTCGTTGGTGCACTCAAGATGAAAACATTCGTTGAATCACTACAAAAACAAACAATGGGCCTAATTCTCAATATACAAAATTATCAGTTTTTGAATTGGTCCTTACCGACAGAAGAAATCTTTCAGGCACACGGCAAAAATCGGCCTGTAGCAAATCTTCCAGTGGCCGATTTTTTATCTCAGCCATTAGAAATGCTATTACCAAAGCCACTGAATACGTAACTTTCGGTTTTTATTTTCGTATTTTGGTTTTCTTCCCTTTCTAGGAAAGTTTGAACGTCACTGTCTATAAGCGATACGGATTTTTCAATGTTTTAGCAGCCATAATCCAAAAAATTTTCCGACGAACGACCTTGGATGGAGGACCGTGAAGGCTTTGCCCTTCATTCATCAACCTAACCAAGTGGCGCACAAAGCGAGTGACGTGTCAGTAGGTTATGGACAATATCAAACACGCGTGAAAAAATACCATATTTTTTCACGTGTGTTGTTACGGCTTTCCTCAGGGCTGGAACTCCTCGTAGAACACGGGAGTTTATATGGTAATCGTTTATTGTCATGGACCTCTATTTGTTGACCTAAGATTTTATTCAAGTTGCAACCGAAATCCCCTGATCCATAAGTAACGCAATACTCATTTAAATTGTACGCGTTCATAAACTCCTGCTCAGGAAACTGAACTAAAAATGAGGCGATTTGATACAGAAATCTCCAACACAACCTTGAGAAAGCCTTGAAAGACAGGGTGTTCAATTCGTATTGCAAAATCGGGAAACAAGGCAATATGTCATTCATCACTAGCTGGAAAAATTTTTATTTAGTTTAAAAAAATCGATACCCGATTATTAAGAGCGATTGGAGGAATTGTGGGTTGTGTGTAGGTTTTCATACAGAAAGTGGAGCTACGCTATTGGTGGAAATATGGTGACGAGAAAACAAAAGTAAATTAGTTAAATGAAAGGCGTTCGTTAATACCGTAGGGATTAAGAATGCCGATTTTAAAGACAAATTTTTGTTCTACAGTTTTGCTGCTTTCCGAACTGCCTAGGTATAGCAAAGGGCCGCAAACTACCATATGCTGCTCAGAATGATCAGAGAGATTGATATGTCTAGCGACTGGTTTGAATGCGTCCTTTGTCCTTGCTCTCAGAATCGGTCACATAGTCGTTTCCCTTCCAAGAAACAAGAAGCTTACCTTGCTATTAATTAAATATTTGAAAAAAATGGAGCCTCAAGCTTCTTGAACTTTAATTTTCTCGCGACCATAAGAAATAATTTGGCTGAATTTGCGGCCATAAAAGAGGTGGGTAAATAGTGGATGATAAACCTAAGAGAGAGACAGGCTAAAGATGTAACATATTACGCTTGTCGCTGTTTCGTTCCTAAGTCAACACAGGTGCGACACGTAGAGTATCTGGAACCAGCATTAATTTTGAAATTGGAGTTTTACTCTCAGTTTGCCTAAGCTGATAACAATTCGTGGCATCCCAAGATCACGTGAATGAATAATTCACGCTATTTTCCGAGTAAGAAAACGAATCTGATCCAAACAGCAATTCGGCCGATGCGTTGGTCAACGGTCTACTGTCGATATCCGATCACAGAAGGTTTACTTAGGTGAAGAGGCTTTTGTTCTGTTGTATTGTGAAATTAACCTATCACAAATACAGCTTTACTTTCCTCTTATTACTAATTCAAATTCGCGCAGAAAACATTGGACTTTTTTTCTCTTTCACGTGACAAACCTCTCACCCCTCGGGAATTTTATGTAGTCAGATGTTACAGATGAATTTTTGTTCTTTGCAGTTGGTATTCAAAAACTAACGTTTAACTGATCTTGAATTGGAGGGTGCCGTTAAGACGAAATATTCCTCGTTATAACTAAGGATAACCTGCAAAAGAGTGGTAAGGACAGCAGGATGATGGCGACAACAAATATAACGGGACCACAGACAAAAACATTTGAAAGATTGATATGCTCTCCGGTTTGGGAAGTTGATTTTAAACAACATTCCATTTCATTCTCAGCAGTCAACATTCTCCTCTCCATCACAGCTACTCTTGCGAACTCTCTTATCCTTGTTGCCCTTCACAAGGAATCTTCCCTCCATCCGCCATCCAAACTCTTGTATCGTTGTCTGGCAACATCTGATTTGTTGGTTGGTCTTGTTAACCATCCTCTCTATGCTGCCTATTGGATGTCCTTGGCTCACGAACACTGGAGTCTTTGTCGATACGCGAGGAACGCAGGCTACATATCAAGCTTTACATTGTGTGGAGTTTCTCTGTTTACAATGGCGGCCATAAGCGTGGACCGACTTCTCGCCATGTTGTTGGGACTGAGATACAAAGAGATTGTAACTTTGAGGCGCACGTATATCATTTTAGCTATCGTTTGGATTGGATGTTTAATCGCTGGTTCATTCTCTCATCTAAATTATCGTACAATCTTTTGGTACACCTTTACAAGTATATCATCTTGCCTGGTAATCTCAATCGCCTCGTACACAAAGATTTTCCGCGCCCTCAGTCATCATCAGGCTCAGATACAAGATCACGCTCGACAACAGCCGATGCAACCCAATGCACTGAACATGGCGCGATACAGAAAGGCAGTGTACAGTGCACTGTGGGTGCAGTTAGCATTAGTTGTCTGTTATGTACCACAATTCACAGTAGAAATTGTGATCTTTCTTAGTGCAACGAGATTTTCGAATTTTTTCTTAATCTACGGAATGGCAAATGTCTTAGTGTTCTTTAACTCTACTTTAAACCCGTTCCTTTACTGCTGGAAGATAAGTGAAGTGAGACGAGCAGTAAAACAGACAATCAGACAAGCAATCTGCTATGCAAAGGTGTAGACCTATTTTAGCGTTGGCATGTGCTGTTTCTTCGATCTTACTTGAAAAATGACAGTTGTTTGGAGAAAGAGGAAGATACGTCATTTCGTGATAAAAAGGGCAGGGGAAAATATGAAGAGCTACCTCTAAGTAATATATTGTATTCGAATTATCTAACGAAAAACTAGGTGAAAAGAGTATAGTTTAACAAAACAGTAACGTATCTCCAATTTGCAAATTTGCAGTGAAGTAGTGAAGGCTATCAGTTATTTTGGAGTCATAATGTACTCAGGATTTTGATGAGATATGTCACCTTGGCTCAGAAATATGGTTTAGTGATAACGAGCTGTTAAAGGAGCCAGCCGCTTGATTTTGCCATGATTGACAATTAGCCGTAGTGTTTACAACGAAATTTTGCAGCTGTTCAAATACACGGAAGGAAATATTTAAAAAAGAAGTTGATCATCACCATTTCATATAGAGATACCATTTGAGACCAATCGTTAAGCTCGCAAATTTTAACAGAAGAAAATTATCATACGAAATGATTGAAAAAAACTCTAACATAGTTAATAAGACTAGCTATTTTTCAGTATGTTACCAACATCAATTAAGACTGTTTATCAAGTTGCCTCGTGACTCCGCACTATTTTGACCGCTGTGATGACGAATATCGTTGTCGATAAGAGCACAGAACACAATAAACCATGGCCACGGTCGATTTGTTAAATGGAGAGTTCTCGCTAACAGCGCTGCTTATTACTAGAACCTAACCTTATATTGTAAGTATAAGATGATTTGCACAAAAAAAAGGTCCGAAGCGAGGGAGAATTTGTATTGTTTAAGGTATTTGCCGCAAACTGTTCACCGCTAGATCTATTTTAAGACTTTTTAGGGCATAAAGGCAGAGTTAAATACAGCTTGATTGGTAGAGAGTCTGTCATTATCTCAAAGTTTCAGTCAGGTGAAACACGTAGAGAAAAAAGAACAAAAATTCCAATTTTTTTTAGGTGTAACTACGCAATTGTAACCATACATTAATTTGAATAGTTTTATGTAATCTAGTTTTTTATTTTTCCCAATACCGATTAACGTTTTCAAAAAAGGCTTTTTTTTCTTTGGATGAAGATAATTGAGGGCGTCCCAAGTTTGCGTAAGTTAATATATTAACATTGGATAAACAACTCTATCAAAAAAAAGTTTATTCGACTGGCGTATCATGAAATAGTTCTATCATCACAAATGTATATTTGCGAATACAAATTCGCAGAAAACCCAGTCTTTCTATTTCTCTTTCTTGTGACACACCAGACAGCTTGTTTGGGAATTTGGCATAGTCAAACGCTACTGATGAGGTCTGTATGTAATTGTTATTCACAAAGTGAGGTTTGACTGATCTTGACTCGGAGGATGCTGTTAAGATGAAATATTCGTCGTAGTTAATATGGATAATCTGTAAAAGATTGGAAACAACAGAAGAATGTTGCCTATTGCCTTTTGGATACTCTCTGGTTTGGGTTATACCAGTTTCTTTACCGTTCCGTTGTAAGATCAAAGATATAAAACAAGCAGTAAAGCAGACAATCAGACAAACAATTTGCCATGCAAAGGTTTCGACCTATTTCGACGCTTACTATTGTGCTTCTTCCAAAGCTATTTATGGTTGTTAGGAGAGAGGAGAGGATATACAATTTGACGAAAAAGATTAAGGAAAAGTAGAAAGAGCTACTTCGAATTTTTCTATTATATTCAAGTTATCCTATGAGCAACTGAAAGGTAACAAATCTTAGTTTGGTGACTATATCACAAGGATATTATATGTCAAATTTGCACAATTATCATGAAGCAGTGAAGACTATTCTTTTCGAGAAGAATGCGCTAACGAATTTACTGTTTCGTCAAAACTGGATGAGATATGTCACTTTGGCTCAGATATACGGTTAATTGTAACAGGAGCCACGGGCTCGATTTGTTAATTACAAACTTTGTAAATATGTAGACTTTTTTCAGCTGTTAAATATTTCAAACGGGTGAATTCTTCAAAAATAAAGTTGACTATTATTATTTTCACATAGATTTATCGTTTGAGACCAATCGCTTGCCAAAAAGCAATTTCGCAAATTATGGCAGAAGAAACTTGTGATGTGCGAAAAAGGTCAAAAACTCTAACATGTTTGATAAGAATAGCTGTTTTCCAGTATGTTACCAGCATCAACTAAGACAGTTTATCGAGTGCAAAACTATAGTCCTCACAGGATTATCCTTCGATTTCTTTGAACAAGTAATTGTAAAACCTTCTTTAGGACCAAATTCAAATACACCAGAAGACTTATGTTATAAAATACTCCAGAAAATTTTAAAAACGTTCCTTTATTTACTTTTTCTTGCTGAGTCATGAGCTAAGAAGGGCAAGCCAAGCTGAAACTGATCTTTAAACAGAATATGATGAAATGATGTAGAATGTCCCAGGCTGTTACGCATATCTCTTTAAGCGGAGCTCATATTTAGTTGCTGTTGCTACCACAAGCCTTTTAATAAAACGGAGCGAAATGGTACACGGCACGATAGTAGCGGTGGAGTGATAAAACGGGGGAATTTTGGGCCAGGTCGGGTCGGGTGAACGCCGTTCTTTACTCGACTTTTTCGGTCCGCCCTGACTATCGCGCCGTTTACTGTGCACTTCGTTTTACTAGCTGAACGTCTCAAATAGGCTGTGTAATCACTCGATAAGCTGTCAGATAAAAAAAATAGGCTGTGAGGCAGAATACAAGAGACTACAATATATATTTTTTTCAAGTGAGTAGTGGAGCCACTTATTACGGAAGAGTAATCGAGAGACAAAATGAATGCAATCACCTGTGGTATACATAACAACTTTAATTGTTGCTACGGTAATGTTTTGAAATCAAATAATGACTCAACGCAAAAAATTTAATTTATCTTACTCAATGGTTTATTAAGCAAACGATGTAAAAATGTTTCTATAGCTTTTTGCTTTGCGCCTATAAAATAATTGATTATTTTTATTCGGTAGCAAAACCGTATAGTAGGAAAGAAAGCTGGTACATGTATAGTTTAAAAAAAAAACAAAAACAAAACCTTGGCTAAAATAACATGGTATTGGTGACCATAGATTAGTCCAAAGGAAGTCTTCGAACTGCCTCCTAACCGAGTAACATCTGCACTGCAATCTTTTTGTTTTTCAGTTTGCCGTACGCACGTGATCATAATTCTGACAAGTCCCCTATATCGCAGCATTGGCGTAAGCACTTCATCATCTGTCACTTTTTTTTTGTTTTTCTTTTTTTGAAACAATGGTCTCAGAGGGAATAAATTTGTCTTTGTTATACTATGCCATATCCAAAATGTTGTTTAACAGTTACAGGTAACTAAGACAAACAGCAATGTTCAGTAGCAAAATTCTCCCTTAAAAACCAGAGATAATTTGCACACACATCGTCTCCCGTGGGAGGAGCATTTGAATTATTTATGATCTTTTGATCAACATTTCCCCCGTTTAAAATGTGCTGTTGTGTTGGGAAACTAATCTATCACAAATGCAGTTTACTTTCACCTTATTACTTATTCAAATTCGCGCAGACAAACCGTCTTTTTTTTTCTTCAGGAATTTTACATACTCAGGCGCTACTGATTAATTTTACTCTCCGTAGTTGCTATTGAAAAATGAAGGTTTAACTGACCTCGAATCGGAGGGTGCTGTTAGGACGAAGTATTCCTCGTTGTAACTAAGGAGAACCCGCAAAAGAGTGGAAACGACAGGAGGTTGATGGCGACCACAAATATAACGGGAAGTGGAACACATCCGCAAACATTTGAGGCATCGCTTTGTTCCCCGGTTTGGGTAGGTGAGTTTAAAAAACAGTCCATTTCATTCTCAGCAGTCAACACTCTATTCTCCATCACAGCGATTCTGGGGAACTCTCTTATCCTTCTTGCCCTTCACAAGGAATCCTCCCTGCATCCACCATCCAAACTCTTGTATCGTTGTCTGGCAACAACTGATTTGTTGGTTGGTCTCGTTAGCCAGCCTCTCTATGTTACTTATTGGATGTCCTTGGTTCACAAACACTGGAGTCTTTGTCGATACGCAAGGGAAGCAATCGTCATATCAAGCTATGTATTATGTGGAGTGTCTTTGTTGACGATGACAGCCATAAGCGTAGACCGACTTCTCGCCATGTTGTTGGGACTGAGATACAAAGAGATTGTAACTTTGAGGCGCACGTATATTATTTTAGCTATCTTTTGGGTTGTATGTATAGTCACTAGTTTATTCTCTCATCTTAACTACCGTATAGCTGTTTCGAGCAGCTTGATAATTACACCATCTTGCGTGGTAATCTCAATCGCCTCGTACACAAAGATTTTCCGCGCTCTCAGACATCATAAGGCTCAAATACAAGATTATGCTCAACAACAGCCGAGCCAACTAAATGCACTGAACATGGCGCGATACAGAGAGGCAGTGCACAATGCACTATGGGTGCAGTTAGCTTTAGTTGTCTGTTACATACCACAATTTACGATGAAAATTGTGAAATTTCTTAGTGTACAGATATTTTCGAATTTCTTCATAATCCACGAAATGGCAAATGTCTTGATGTTCTTTAACTCTACTTTAAACCCGTTCCTTTACTGCTGGAAGATAAGTGAAGTGAGACGAGCAGTAAAGCAGACAATCAGACAAGCAATCTGCTATGCAGAGGGGTAGACCTTTTTTAGAGTTGGCATGGACTGTTTCTTCTGTAGCTTATTTGAAAATTATAATCATTAGATGAGAGGAGAAGGTATGCAATTTCATGATAAAAAGCGTAAAGCGTAAAAATATAAAGAGCTACTTCTAAATAGTGCACTGCAGTAGCACATTCGAATTATCTAACGAACAACTAACAAGTGAAAAGTTGTAATTTAGTATCCATAACAAAACAATAACGTGTCTTCAATTTTCATATTGGAATGAAGTAGTGAAGGCTATAATTTTGAATGAGTATGCGCTTAGGATTTTGCTTCGTGATCAAGACTTTAGAAAATACGTCATTCGCCATGCCGATCAGCGGCATGGCGAATGTTTTAGTTTTCTTTAACTCCACTTTAAAACGTTTCTTTACCATTGGAAGTTCAGAGATATAAAACAAGCAGTAAAGTTGACAATCAGACAAGCAATTTGTCATGCATAGGTTTCGACCTATTTCAATATTTACTCGTTCCGTTTCTTCCAAGGCTACTTAACTGTTATGGTTGTTAGGAGAAAGGAGAGGATATAACATCTGATAAAAAGAGTAAGGAAAGCAATAAAGAGCTACTTCTAATTTGTATATTGTATTCAAGTTATCTCAAGAACAACTGAAAGGTAAAAATCTTAGTTTGTTAGCTATATCACAAGGATATTATGTGCCGAATTCGCACACTTATAATGAAGCAATGGACGCTATTCTTTTTTGAGCAGAATGCGCTTACGATTTTGCTGATTTGTCAAAACTGGATGAGATATGTCACTTTGGCTAAGTGTTTACGGATTGTAACAGGAGCCACGGGCTCGATTTGTTTAAGGCAAAAACTTTGTAAATATGTAGACTTTGTTTTCATCTATTTAAATTTATCACTATTTTCACATAGATTTATCGTTTGAGACCAATCCCTTGCCAGAGAGCAAGTTCCCAAATTATGACAGAAGACAGTTATGATAAGAAATAATTAAAAAAACTCTAACACGGTTGATTAGACCAGCTGTTTTTTTTATTATGTTACCAGCATCAATTAAGACTATTTATCGAGTGCAAAATTGAAAAAGACACTTTTGATAAGAAATAATTAAAAAACTCTAACATGGTTGTTTAGACCAGTTGTTTTTCATCATGTTTTCAGCATCAATTAAGACTATTTATCGAGTGCAAATTTGTAGTCCTCAGGTTATCCATCAATTTCTTTGAGCAAGTAATTTTAAAAGCACTTTTATTACCAAATTCGAATATTAAAGAAGATTTCTTGACTTTATTACAGACCGTGTACACACAGCTGGTCTTATGAGAAAACATTCTCTCATTTAATGACATTCGAGTTCAAAAGCCGCTATTCACGCGCTCTCGAATACCTACCACTGCTTCTAATTAAAAAGGTTTTTATGACAGCTCACCACTGCAAATCACTTCCGCGCTTGAATTTCATCTGATAGTCAAAACATTATTTATGTCATTCAACTTCTGAAAAAAAAGCGTGTTTTGAAAGCTATAAATATTTGTTTCAAAAAGTACTACGCTCGAATCTATTTTATGTGGTTCCCTTTAACAATTCGCGTTTGTCCTCGAGATCGTTACGAATATCAAGGAATCAGTGACAGGTTGTATGTAAATTTTTGACGAGTGAAATAACATGAAAAAGTTAGCGTTGCCATAAATGTCATGAATGTCATGAATGTCATAACGGAAGGTAAATCTCATAAATAAAATGAGAATCAAATAAATTTTGTCAGTAATATTTAAAAGTTCAAATTTATTTATCGATGGACTGATTTCCGAGCGTGATTTCTAGATATCGTAGACTTATATTCTAAAGGACTTCAGATAATTTTAAAAATGTTCATTTATTTACTTTGACTTGCTGAGTTAAGAGCTAAGCTAGGCAAGCCAAGCTGATACTAATCTTTCATTAGAATATGATGAACTGACCTAGAATGTCCCAGACTGTTAGAAATATCTCTATAAGCAGAGCTCATATTTAGCTGCTGTTGTTAGATAGCCTTTTCCAGGGGTTCATTTAGTAAAACGGAGCGAAATGATACACGGTACGATAGCAGCGGTGGAGTGCAAAACGGGGAAGGCTTGGGTCAGGCCCATGAAATGATTGAATATTTTTATTTGGTGGCAAAGCCGTCTTGTAGATAAAATGGCTTGTACAGTTTTTCAGGTAAACAAACAGGTAACTAAGACAAACAGGATTGTTCATTAGGAAAGTTCCTCTTAAAACCGGTGATAATTTGCACACAGAATGTCTCCTATGGGAGGAATGTTTGAATTATTTATGATCTTTTCAGGAACATTTCAACCCTTTGGTTTATGTTGAGACTTTTCAGGGTATAACGGCAAAATAAATCGTCGTTGAATTTCTTTTCGCTGAAAAATTGATTCCCTGTTAGGATGGTCATTTAATGCAAGGTACACATGCCAACATCTGGGGAATTTTAATATGTCTGTGGCACAAACAACACTTGGGATCGTTCACGCAATTCAAATAGGGTAAATGATACCGTTAAAATGCTTGAGTATACATGCATTATTTACAGGTGATATTCAAGCCACAGTGGATGTGAAGTTGTTGTGAAGGCGAGATATCTTTGTAGATACTGATGATGCCGAGTACAAATCTAACAGCATTCGAAAGGCAAACAAAAACATTTAAAGACCTTGTTTGCTCGCCTGTTTGGCAGTTGGATTGCAAAAAAATTTGATTTATTTCACGGCAGTCCACAATCTCCCCTTATTCATTGCATTTTTTGGGAACCATCTCATTCTTGTTGCCCTTCACAAAGTATATTCCCTTCTTCCGCCGTCCAAACTCTCCTATCATTGTTTGGCAACAGGGTTTGAAGATGTTGTGCCATAGCAAATGGTGGCATTTTTAACTTTAGATATTGCAACGGGAATTATATACCACTCAGATTTCAAGAGGTGTTGTTTACAGACTCCATACTTTCTCATCCTTGGTTCACTTTCATAATGAACAGGGACAGATTCCTTCAAATTCTCTATTACCTTCATCTGACTGACAGCCAAAATAACACTTGGAATAACAAACTTTTCAAACTGAGACCAGTGTTGGATTATGTAGTAAGACAGTGCAAAAAGCACTACTACCGAAGGCGTGAAGTATCAATTGATGAGTGAATGATTGGTACAAAATGCAAAATAGGATTTGGCTGGTACTTGCCTTTAAAACCAACTAAATGGGGCATAAAGGTTTGGGTTATGGCAGATGCAGTGACAGGATACTGCTGTAACCTACAAATATACACGGGTAGGGAAGGAAATCACGCAGAGAAAGGCTTAGCAAACAGGGTGGTGAAAGATGTTATGATAGACTATCAAGGACTTGGTCATCGGATTAATGTTGACATCTTTTATACTTCTCCTAAGCTATTCAAGGATCTCTAAATGCACTGAAGTCTGGCTTGTGGTACAGTGAGAAGTACTAGAAAGGGTGTGCCCCCAACATTAAAAGAAAATGTTGACCAGAATGACTCCCTTTTTCGCAAAGCAAAGATGACAGAGGGCTTCATGACTGCATTGCAATGGGAAGATAAAAGAGATGTCTTCGCACTGTCCACAATCCATGGCAATGCTGTTGGGGATAACTTGCATCATAAGCCCATCCTCATCTTTGGCTGCAATAAATACATGGGTGTTGTGGACTATAATGACCTACTGTTGGTGTGAAATGTGATACACACCTTTGTGAGCATCCATGCTTTCAAGAGTGGCACAGCCTTTCAAGGCTAAAATAGGTTTGCTTTCTTGCTGTTTTTGCTAGATTATAGTAAAAGCACTTTCTTTATAAAGAATTGAAAGGCTTTGATGTAATTTCGGGTGGAAAAGCCACAGATAAAAATTATTTTAGTTATTTTCCATGCGTTAGGTTCTTCAATTTTAATATATATTTGCACATTTATAAATACCGAGGGTCTGTCAGGAAATAATTATTTTTTTATTTGAAAAAAACATCCCTTGAACTAAAAATTGTACCATATGAACAACTGATTAGATATTCTTTCTCATAATGTATGAATTATTTTTCTAATGGGCAGAACCTCTGGGGAAAAATAGTGTAAATCAAGAAATTATGATTTAATTTGCATAAACTGCATTAATTATGTCGAACAAATTAGTTACCATGGAGACTGAAGATAATTATTTGTTTATGTTTATGACCCTATGATGTTCACAATTGTATAAGCTTTCTAACAATGTACAGCATTTCTACAATGCTTCCAAGTGGACTTTTTTAAAAAAGGATTAATGTTATACACACCTGAAACTTTTTTTTTTATTATTTTCTATCAAAAAATTCAGATTGGAAAGGGTTAAAGACTGCTCAAGGAAAGTGGCAGAAAGGAGATTTGGGCCCCTATTTGTTGACCTCAGATTTAAGTTAAGTTGCATCCCTTCGCATATTGATGATTAGCACAATTGTTCACGTCAGATACCGTGTGATTCAGTATATTTATTGCATGTCAATGTCAGAGCTAGAATGGATGTCACATTTTGCAGGACGTGCGATACATAAAAATATTGCTGCATAAACTCGAGATTGACTTTGGGATCAAGGGCAACCTGGCTGCTTGGCTTCACAGCTACTTAAAGGGGAGGCGACAGTTCACAGTCATTGACGGCGCAGCCTCTGATTTTGCTCGCATTAATACAGGCGTTCCTCAGGGATCAGTCCTCGGTCCAACCTTGTTCGCACTTTACACAAATGATCTACCTGATAATATAACAAATGCAACTGTTTTTATGTACGCAGACGATACCACCCTGTTCTGTATCGGAGACACCGTAGACATTGTTATTGCCGAACTAAATGCTGCTCTCAAGGAACTAGAGCTATGGTGCTTAAGAAATCAGCTATTGCCTCACCCCAAGAAATGCGAAGGCATGCTAATTCATCGAGGAAACTTCACTGGTCCACTACAGTCATTAATACTGATGAATCATTGTATAAGATGGGTTAAACACACCAGGCTGCTTGGAGTCTATATTGATAATAGACTTAACTGGGACTACCATGTCAAAGCACTAAAGATCAGCTTTGCAAATAAGCTTAACATGCTGAAGCGCAGCTTGTTCTTACCAAGACCCATGCTACTGGACTTATACTTTAAAGTAATCTACCCATCAATTATATATGGTATCACCGTCTGGGGCGGCCTTACTAATAAGGAGGGCCTAATTGCATTAGAGTCTTTACACTGTAGAGCGGCAAAATTAATTTTTAACTGGCCATGGGATATGCCTAAGTCTGACGTACTAAGCAAAGCTCGATGGTCTTCTATTGAAACCACATATAAAGTTAATTTAGCTAAACTGATGTTCAAAATAGATAAGAAGACTTTACCTATATCCATCTTAGATACCACCGAAGAAGTTGACGTGAATACTAAGAAAAATCTAAGAAGTAATGCCAACATAAAAGTACCAAAATTCAATACATATTACATGAAAAACAGTTTTTCCAGAAGAGGACCTATCGTTTTTAACACACTTCTCCAAGAATCAAATTTAAGAAATATAACCATTAAGCAGCTCTCCTCGTTAGCCTACAAATCAAAGGCACTTTTAAATTTGAACTTTAATTCCATTTCTCCACAGACAGTGAATTTTAAGGACCCCAATTTTAAATATTTTTAGATCTTCTAATTTTGATAGGCTACTTTAATTATTGTATTTTACTACATTTCATTTTATTCCATTTTACGCACGACCCCACAAGCGTGTAGTCGCTTTAACAATTATCGTGTTTAAATAAAGTCTTTGTATTGTATTGTATTGTTGTAAACATAGGTAACGCAATACACATTTGAACCGCACCCGTTTATAAACTACTGCTTGGGAAATCAAACCCAAAATGAGGCAATTTGGTATAGAAGTCTGCACCACAACTGTGAGTAAGCCTTAAAAATCAGGGTTTTCAATTTGTATTGACAGGGTTACAAATCAGCAAAAAAAGCTTTACTTCATTCGTTATTAGCTGGAAAAATGTTTGTTTAGTCAAGAAATTCGATTCTCTACCATTTACAGCAAATGTAGACCAGCGTACAATTTGATTAGATTTTTATTTCCACACAGACCAACATGCACAAGGTAAAATCATTTTGTAACCGGCAGTCTCCTCTTTGAGACAGCCGAACAAAGGAAAATTGGGTAACTCACTTTATCAAAGTCCTGAAAATGGGGAGTTAAAAGTTGACTCGACCAACTGACGGTCTCCTTTCGATAACCTATTACTGAAGGTTTATTTGAGTGAAGAAAATTTTTTACGCTGTTTTGGGAAATTAACCTGTCACAAACGCACTCTTACCTTCCCCTCATTACAAATTCAAATTCGCGTCGAAAAACCTTTTTTTTTTTCCTCTTTCGTGTGACACATCTTACCGCCTTTGAGTATTTTACAAAGTCAAGCGCCACCGATGAACTTTTACTCTCTGTAATTGCTCTTCAAAATCAAAGGTTTAACTGATCTTGACTTAAAGGGTGCTGTTAAGACGAAATATTCCTCGTTGTAACTAAGGATAACCTGCAATAGAGTGGAAACGACAGCAGGATGATGGCGACAACAAGTATAACTGGAGATGAAACACAGACAAAAAAATTGGACGGATTGCTATGCTCCCAAGTTTGGGCAACTGAGTTTAAACAACAGGCCATTTCATTCTCAGCAGTCCACATTCTCCTCTCAATCACAGCAACTCTTGGGAATTCTCTTATCCTTGTTGCCCTTCACAAAGTATCTTCCCTCCATCCGCCATCCAAACTCTTGTATCGTTGTCTGGCAACAACAGATCTGTTGGTTGGTCTTGTTACCCATCCTCTCTATGTTACCTATTGGATGTCTGTGGTTCACGAACACTGGAGTCTTTGTCGATACTCTTTTGACGGAGGTGGCATACCAGGCTATGCTATATGTTCAGTGTCATTGTTGACACCGACGGCCATAAGCGTGGACCGACTTCTCGCCCTGTTGTTGGGACTGAGATACAGAGAGATTGTTACTTTGAGGCGCACATATATCATTTTAGTTATCGTTTGGGTTGCATCTCTAGTCGCTGGTTTATTCTTTCATCTCAATTACCATATAACCTCTTGGTACAGTCTTATAGGTGTATCTTCTTGTCTAGTTATCTCCATCGCCTCATACACAAATGTTTTTCGCACTCTTAGTCATCATCAGGCTCAAATACAAGATTACACTCAGCAACAACAGAGCCAACCAGATGCACTGAACATGGCGCGATACAGAAAGGCAGTGCACAGTGCACTGTGGGTGCAGTTAGCTTTAGTTGTCTGTTATGTACCCTATTTTACGGTGGAAATTGTGATCTCCCTTAGTAAAGAGCGATATCGGAATGGCATCATAATTGAAGGGATGGCAGTTGCCTTAGTGTTCTTTAACTCTACTTTAAACCCGTTACTTTACTGCTGGAAGATAAGTGAAGTGAGACGAGCAGTAAAGCAGACAATCAGACAAGCAATCTGGTATACATAAGGGGTAGACCTATTTTAACGTTGGCACGTGCTGTTTTTTCTATAGCTTATTTTATCGAGTTGCCTGATGAGTCCACAACATGTTGACCTCTGTAATGACGAATACTAAAGCCCAACCTCATATTATAAATAGCCGAAGACGATCTGCAGAAAGAAACTGTCCCAAGAGAAGGAGAATTTTTACTGTTAATGGTGTTTGAAATAAAATGTACACTGTTAGATCTATTTTCAGACTTTTAGGCCACAAAGACTGAGTTTAATGCAGTTTGATCGGTAGGGAGCTACTCATTATCTCAAAGTTCCAGCCAGGTGCGACACGTAGAAAGCAAGGAACAAAAACGCAAACATTTTTAGGGGTAACTATACATCTGTAACCATACATTAATTTTGAATCTTTTTATGTAATCTAGTTTTCTGTTTTCCCAATACCGATTAACGTTTACAAAAATGATTTTTACCTTCAACTAAGATAATTCATGGCGTCCTAACTTTGTGTATGTCATATTAGAAGTCAACAAACCACCTTACCAATAAATTTTTTCTTAAGTAAACATATTTTTTTGTTGTCGAATTCTGAAAGAATTCTATCACAAATGTAGATTTCCTTGTCGCCTATTGTTAATTCAACTTCGAAGAAAAATCCGGCCTCATTTTTACTTTTTCGTATGACACATCGGACAGCTTGGCTGATGAAGTCTTGATGTAATTGTTATTCACAAAATAAAGTTTGACTGATCTTTACTTGGAGGGTGCTATTAGGACGAAATATTCTCGTTTCACCAAGGATAATCTGCAAAAAAGTGAAAACAACAGAAGGGTGTTGCTTTTTGCCTATTGATACTGCTAATGTCGCTGGTGAAAGCTACATTTTAGACTATATCGATCAGATATGTGGCACGGCCGTATGTCCGTGGTTTACGAAAATTGGAGCCTTTGCCGATACTCATTTTAAGCAACGGTGTAACGGGCTGTGTGTTTTGTTCAGTGTCTCTGTCGACGCTGACGGCCATGAGCGTGTAACGAATTGTAGTCCTCAGAAGGTTATCCATAGATTTGTTTAAGCAAGTAATTTTAAAAGCACTTTTATTACCAAATTAGAATATTCAAGAAGATTTCGTGACTCCATCACAGGTCGTCCATACACAGCTGGTTTTATAATAAAACATTCTCTCATTTTAATGACAATCGAGTATAAAAGCTGGTAACACCCGCTCTTGAGTACCTACCACCGCAGCTCACCACTGCAACTCACCCCCACAAGGATCATTCCGCGCTTTAATTTCATCTGAGGGTCAAAACATCATTATTCTATGTCATTAAAATTCTAAAAAAAAAATAAGTATTTTGAAAGCTGTAAGTCTTTGGTTCAAAAACTACTATGCTCTAACCTGTTGTTCCCTTTAACACTTCTTTTCCTTTCAAATATCACGGAATGAATAACAGGTTCTATGCAAATTTTTGATCAGTAAATAATAAGAATAAGTGAACGTTACCATAAATGTCATAACTGTCATAACTGAAGGTACATCTCAGATAAAATGAGAATCAAATAAATTTTGTCGGTGATGTTTAAAAGTTCAAAATTATTTATCGATCGACTGATTTCCGACCGCGATATTTAGATATTGTACACCTATGTCCTAAAATACTCAAGAAAAATGTTTCGTTATCTATTTTTTCGTGCTGAGTCATCGGCTAAGCCAGGGAATTCCAGCTGACACTGATCTTTAAATATAATTTGATGTAGAATGTCCTTAGCTTTTCAGCATATCTCTTTAAGCGGAGCTCATATTTAGTTGCGATTGTTTTCACCAGTCTTTTCCAGGTGTTTATTTTGTAAAACGGAGAGGAATGGTACACGGCACGATAGCAACGGTGGAGTGATTAAACGGGAGAGTGTTGGGTCGGGTCGGGTCGGGTCGGGTCGGGTCGGGTCGGGTCGGGTCTGGTGAACGCCGTTCTTAACCTGACTCGACCTAAGACTCACTCTTTTTTCGGTCCACCCTGACCATCGCGCCGTTTACTGTGCACTTCGTTTTACTAGCTGAACGCCTCAGACAGGCTGTTCTATCACTCGATAAGCTGTGAAAAAAGCTGTGATGCAGGATGTAAGAGACTACCAAATATATTTTATTCGAGTCAGTAGTGGAGCCACTTACTACGAAAGAGGAATTTAGAGACAAAATGAATGCTTTCACCTGTCGTATACATAACAACTTTAACTGTTACTACGGTAATGTTTTGTAATCAAATAATGACTCCACAAAAATAATTAAATTATCTTGTTGAATGATTTATTATTAAGAAAACTATGTGAAAAGGTTTCTGTAGCTTTATGCTTTGCGCCTATGAAAGGATTGAATATCTTCATTAGGCAACAAAATCGTAATGCAGAAAAAAACCCAGACAAAGTTTAGTTTTTCGGGAAAAAAAAAAAAAAACAAAACAAAACATAGACAAAACCTTAGCTAAAATAACATTGTATTAGTGACCACAGATTCATCCAAAGGAAGTCTTACAAATTGCTTCCTGACCAAGTAACATCTGCGCTGCAATCTTTTTGTTGTTCAGTTTGCCGTAGTATGTGATCATAATTCTGACAAGTACCGAGATCACAGCGTTAGCATAAGCACTTCATCATCTGTCAATAACTTTCACTGAAGGGTTTCCTTTGTCAAAAACTGATCTTTTTCATTTCTTTAGAAGCAATGGTCACAGAGAGTATAAATTTGTCCTTGTTATACGATGTCATATCCGAAATGTCGTTCATCATTTTTAGAAAAAGGTAACTAAGAGAAACAGCACTGTCATGATTTTGCTGGTTTGTCAAAACTGGATAAGATATGTCCCTTGGCTCAGAGATACGGTTAATTGTTAAGGAATAGTAGCAAGAGCCACAGGTTCGATTTGTTCATAACAGAACTTTGTAAATAAGTAGACTTTGTTTATTTTGAAGACAATTCTTAATAAACGAGTCGCTGAATTCTGACAAGTCCTAAGATCACGGCATTGTCTGAGCACTTCGTCATGTATCAGTAGCTTTCAGTGAAGGTTTTCCTGAGTCAAGCACTGATGTTTTCACAATTTCTTTTAAAACAGTAGTCGCAAGGAGTAGAAATCTGTCCCTATTACACGATACCATATATCCAAAATGTCGTTTACCAATTTGATAAACAGGTAACTAAGACAAACAACATCGTTAAGAAGCAAACTTCCACTTAGAACCAGAGATAATTTGCACGAAAAAAAGTATTCCGTAAGAGAAATATTTGAATTCCTTGTATTTGTAACTGAGGATAACCTGCAAAAGAGTGCATTATTAATGGTGTTTAAAATAAACTGTTCACCGCTAGATCTATTTTCAAACTTATAGGGCGTAAAGGTAGATTTCAATGCGGTTTGATCAGTAGAGAGATTGTCATTATCTCAAAGTTCCAGTCAGGTGCAACACGTAGTAAACAAAGAAGAAAAATTCAGACATTTTTAGAGGTAACTAGGTATCTGTAAACATATATTAATTTTAAATAGTTTTCTGTAATCTATAGTTATCTTTATTCTTCCCAGTACTGATATTTTTAAAATAACTTTGTATCTGCAACCTGAATTAGTTTTGAAATCGGACTTTTTTCTCAGTTTCATTAAGCTGATAACAATTCATGGCGTTCCAAGATCGCGTGAATTAATAATTTACGTTACTATCCGGGTAAGGCAACGAATCTGATCGAAACAACACGTCGGCCGGTGCGTTGGTCAAAACGTCAGACAACATCCGTCGACTGTTGGTATCCTATCACTGAAAGTTTATTTAGGTGAAGGTATTTTTTTCTGTCGTATTGTGAAATTAACCTATCAAAAATGCAGTTTTACTTTCCCCTTATTACTAATTCAAATTCTCGCAGAAAAACTGACCCTTTTTTCTCTTCCATGTGACAAACCTCACAGCTTTCGGGAATTTTTCGTACTCAGACACTACCGATGAATTTTACTCTCTGCGATTGCTATTCAAAAACAAAGGTTTGACTCATCTTGACTTAAAGGCCGCTGTTAGGACGAATTACTCCTTGTTTGCAACTAAGGATAACCTGCAAAAGAGTGGAAACGACAGCAGGATGATGGCGACAAAAAATGTAACGGGAGGTGGAACACAGACGAAAACATTTCAAAGATTGCTATGCTCCCCGTTGTGGGTAGGTGACTCAAAACAACAGTCTCTGTAATTCTCTGCAGGCAACATTTTCCTCTCCATCACAGCAGTCCTCGGGAATTCTCTCATTCTTGTTGCCCTTCACAAAGAATCTTCCCTCCATCCGCCATCCAAACTCTTTTATCTTTGTCTGGCAACAACTTATCTGTTGGTTGGTCTTGTTAGCCAACCTCTCTAAGCAACTTATTGGATGTCCTTGGTTCCCAAACAGTCTGCATATCAAGCTATGCATTACGTGGAGTGTCTTTGTCGACGTTGACAGCCATAAGCGTTGATCAACTTCTCGCCATTTTGTTAGGACTGAGATAGAAAGAGATTGTAACTTTGAGGCGCAGGTATATCATTTTGGTTTATTCTCTCATCTCAATTACATTATAGACCTTTGATGCAGCCTTCTAGTGACACCATCTTGCCTGTTAATCTCAGTCGCCTCGTACACGGAGATTTTTCGCGCTCTCAGTCATCGTCAGGCTCAAATACAAGATTATGGTCAACAACAGTCAACCAACCGAATGCTCTGAACATGGCGCGATACAGAAAGGCAGTGAACAATGCTCTGTGGGCGCAGTTAGCTTTAGTTGTCTATTATGTTCCACAATTTATAGTGAAAATTGTGATCTTTCTTAGTACAAAGAGATTTTCGAATTTATTCATATTCCTGGGAATGGCAAATGTCTTAGTGTTCTTTAACTCTACTTTAAACCCATTCCTTTTCTGCTGGAAGATAGAAGAAGTGAGACGAGCAGTAAAGCAGACAATTAGACAAGCAATCTGCTATACATAGGGGTAGACCTGTTTTAACGTTGGTAGAACTGTTTCTTCTTAGCTTATTTGAAAAATTATAAATGTCAGAAGAGAGGTGTAGATATGCCAATTTATGATAAAAAAAGAGTAAGGAAAATGACAAGAGCTACTTCTAAATAGTGCATCGTATTCGAATTATCTGACGAACAACCAACAAGTAAAAAATTGTAGTATAGTGGCCACAACAAAACAATGATGAGTCTGCAATCTGTGCATTGGTAATGAAGTATTGAAGGCTATTATTTGGAATCAGAATGCGATTGGGATTTTTTTTTGCGATCAAAATATGATGAGATATGTCATTTGCTGTAATCACTTTTATGTGGTGCCCTTTAACGCTTCCCTTCCGTCCTCTGGGCCGCTCCGAATATCACGGAATAAAAAAGAGGTTCTGTACAAATTTTTGATGAGTAAATAATATTAAAAAGTTAACGTTGTCATAAATGTCATAAATGAAGGTACATCTCGTAGAAAAAATGAGAATCAAATAAATTTGAATTGCTAAGTGATGTTTAAAACTTCAAAATTATTTATCAATCGATGGATTTCCAACCGCGATTTCCAGATATCGCAGACTTATGTTCTCAAATACTCCAGAAGATTTAAAAAATGTTCGTTTATTTACTTTGGTTTGCTGTGTTATGAGCTAAGCCGGGCAAGCCAAGCTGAAACTGATCTTTAAATGGAATATGATTAAATAATTTAGAATGTCCTAGGTTGTTAACCATATCTTTATAAGCAGAGCTTTTTTCAGGCGTTCATTTAATAAAACGGAGCGAAATGGCACAATAGTGGAGTGAAAAAAACGGGAGAAGTTTGGATCGGGTTAAGTCGGGTCAGGTGAACGCCGCTCTCGACTTAAGTCTACCTCTTTTTTCGCTCCATTGTGACTATTGCGCCGTTTACTGTGCACTTGGTTTTACTAGCTGAACTCCTCCAACTGACTGTGTTATCACTCGAAAAGCTGTCAATAAAGGCTGTGATGCAGACTACGAGGGACTACTACAGATGTTCTCTTCGAGTCAATAGTGGAGCCACTTATTACGATAGAGGAATCGAGACAAAATGAATACAATCACCTGTGGTAGACATTACAATTTTAATTATTACTACGGTAATGCTTTAAAATAAAATAATTACTCAACAAAACAATTTAACTTACTTACTTAGTGGTTTATAAAGTATATAATATGTAAAAAAGGTTTTTTTAGCTTTGTGCTTTGCGCCTATGAAATGATTGACTATTTTTTGTGTGTAAAACCGCATTGTAGAAAAAACGCTAGTGTAGTTTCAGTTTGCCGTAGGTTTCAGTTTGTCGTACTTATGTGATCATAATTCTGACAAGTCCCGGGATCACAGCATTGGCATAAGCACCTCGCCATCTGTCAGTAACTTTCGGTGAGGGTTTTCCCAAGTCTCATACTGATGTTTTCATCATTTCTTTTGAAACAATGATCATAGAGAGCATAAATTTGTTCCTGTTATACGATACCATATCCAAAATGTCGTTTACCCATTTGAAGAACAGGTAACCAAAACAAACACCACTTTTCGGTAACAAACTTCCGCCTTGAAACCAGAGATTATTTGCATTCAAAATTTTTCCCGTAGGAGGAATATTTGAATAGCTTATGATCTTTTTAGCAACATTTCCACCCTTTTATCCATCTGGACACCTTTTAGGGTAAAACGGCAGGATAAAATGTTGGACAATTGAATCCCTTTTAGGATGGTTATTTTATGCAAGCTACACATGCCAACCTCTGGGGGAAATGTTGATATGTTTTCAAAAACGGAAGACACTTGAGATCGTTCCCGCTTTCCAAATAAGGTAAATATGCCGTTAAAACGATTGATTATCTATGCATTACTAACACTCGAAAAATCTCTCAAGGTTTGATGATGATGACGAAATTCACGTATTTTGGAAGATAACATCAATTTTGGCATTTTCCGCTGGTCCGGCGACTGAATCTTCAACAATTAACTGTGAAGTGCAAGATCCGGCCAGTCTAGAGAGAACGTATGAACAAAGCGGTCACAATCGTAAACAAACAAACTGGTTCTCAATCGAAGAGCACTTTGGAAAAAGACAGTTGCAAAAGGAATGGGTTGAGAATTTCAAACTTGAAGGACTCGCAAGCGATACAAAACTTTCATTCTTGCTAAAATGCTCTCCCACGTGATCACAGAAACACCTGTTTGTTTGTTTGTTTGTTTGTTTTTTGGCTGTTGTCGTTGAAGACTCAAAATCCCCCAATGGCTTTCTATGGTTTCTTTTTTTTTTTTTTCTGATCCGGAGGCCTCACAGAACTCGTAAGTACTTTCACAAACTCTGAACTTGAAAACGTTGCGCTTTATTTCTTTTTTTTGTGTGTTTCTTTTAGTCTTACCGCAGGTCAGGCAGCCTACACTTGAAATACTCTGAGAGCCTAAAAGAGGTTTACAATAAACGTAGTTAACAACTGATTCGCGGGATTGTCTGTACAGTTCCCACATGACTGATTTCGCCATCTCTCGTCGATCTGGAATGAAAGCGAACTTCGCAATGATGAACACTACTTGAGCAGTAGAGAAAATAAGACTTAAAAAAAAGCATACAGGCCTGTGCGGGATTTGAACCCATGATCTTTGCGATACATACGCAGAGCTTTACCAACTGAGCTGACACGCCAATTAGAGCTATGTTGGTTCCAAAAAAACCCTTGAATTGGTGAAAAAATTGGTTTTGATTTCCTTGCTTGAAGAAAACAGAAAGACTTCAGAATCCATATTCTTCATTCTAATCTTTGGCCTATTCAGGACGGCTAAGCAGACCATCAAGCGAAATTTTCACATTTGACGAGTACCTCCCATGGTAACGAAATGGAAATGAAAGTTTGGAGTTCGAAACGCAATTCTTCTCCTATATGTCTAAGAACTTGACAAAAAGAAACGTTTCAAAAACACTGCCATTCGTGAATCCCCATGATGACGAATATCGTTGTAGACAAGAATACATAGCACGCCTAACCACTGTCGATTTGATGATTATTTAGTCTTGATTATAGTATGGTGGAGATCTCAAATGTTTGGTTTTCTAAGGTTTATTCCAAATTAGATGAAAATATGGCGGCAAGAATAAAAACTCTTATTTGTTAATTTGCTTCTACTATTTCTTTATCGACGACCTTGATCCCGGTAACCACAGTGAACCTGAATTTTCATCGCAAGGAATTTAAATTTTATTTATATCCTTCCGCTCGAGAAAACTACGTAAGTAATGTTATCTTTACTTCTAAATATGGATGATTTTCCAGGAAAATAAGCAATTGGAGTTCTCAACAGAAAATCGAATTCTAACAAACTATTTCCCAACTAAATTTGAATCCGGCACCATAATACTCAATTGTAGCTGCAGACTGTCTTTCTGATGTCACCGGCCAAATTATGAATTTGACGCTTGTGTAGTTAATTGCTAATTTAAAAGGAAGTGAATTCGTGTGCAATATGGTGAAGAGGAAACAATTAAATAAATTAGACAATTAAACAATTAAACAAATAAATTAGTTTCATGAAAAGCGCTGTTTGATATCGTGGGGATTAATAGTGCCCGTTTAAAAGATAAATTTTTGTTCTACAGTTTTACTGCTTTCCGAAATACCTAGATGTAGAGAAAAACCGCAAACTGTCATATGCTGCTTAGGGAGATTAAAGTGGATGCGTCCCAGTCATTTCTTTCTACGTCGCGAAGGAATTATTGGAATCGGTCACTCAGTCGTCTTCCTTCCAAGAAAGAAGAAGCTTAACTCACCATTACTTAAGTATTTAAAAAAATGGAACCTCAAGCTTCTTGACCCTTTGTTTTACACATGTCGCCGTTCCGTTCCAAAGTTAACAAATTTGCATCTGTAACCTAAATTAATTTTAAAATTGGAATTTTTCTCTCAGTTTGCCTAAGCTGATAACAATTCATGGCGTCCCAAGATAAAGTGAATTAATAATTCACGCTATTATCCGGGTAAGGCAACGAATGCGATCCAAACAACACGTCAGCCGATGCGTTGGTCAAAGCGTCCGGAGGATTTATTTGAGTGACGAGGTTTTTTTTCTGTTGTGTTGGGAAATTAACCTATCACAACTGCAGTTTTACTTTACCCTAATTACTAATTCAAATTCGCGCAGAAAAACCGGTCTTTTTTTCTCTTTCGTGTCACAAACCTCACAGCTATACCTGGTCAGACAATAGTGATGAATTTTTACTATCTGAAATTGCTATTCATAAGCTAAGTTTTAACTGATCTTGACTTGGAGGGTGGTGTTAAGACGAAATACTTCTCGTTGTATCTAAGAATAACGACTGCAAGATGATGGAGACAAAAAATATAACGGGAAATGAAACACATACGCCGTTATTTGAAGAATCGCAATGTTCCCCGGTTTTGGTTGGTGAGTTGAAAAAACAGTCCATCTCATTCTCAGCGGTCAACATCCTCCTCTCCATCACAGCAATTCTCGGGAATTCTCTCATCCTTGTTGCCCTTCACAAGGAGTCATCCCTCCATCCGCCATCCAAACTCTTGTATCGTTGTCTGGCAACAACTGATCTGTTAGTTGGTCTTGTTAGCCAGCCTCTCTATGCAACTTATTGGATGTCAGTGGTTCACGAACACTGGAGTCTTTGTCGATACGCAGGGACAGCAACTCTCGTAACAAGCTATGTATTATGTTCAGTTTCCTTGGCTACGATGACAGCCATAAGCGTGGACCGGCTTCTCGCCCTGTTGTTGGGACTGAGATACAAAGAGATTGTAACTTTGAGGCGCACGTATATTATTTTAGCCACCGTTTGGGTTGTATCTCTGGTCAATGGTCTATTCAGTTATCTCAATTACACTATAACTGCTTGGTACGGCTTTATAGGTGTGTCATCTTGCCTAGTTATCTCCATTGCCTCGTACACAAAGATTTTTCGCACTCTCAGTCATCATCAGGCTCAAGTACAAGATCACTTTCAACAACAGCCGAGCCAAGCAAATGCTATGAACATGGCAGGATACAGAAAGGCACTGTACAGTGCACTGTGGGTGCAGTTAGCTTTAGCTGTCTGTTATATACCCTATTTGACAATGCTCGTTGTGACCTTTTTTAGTAACAGACATTTCATCATACTTAATGGAATGGTATTTGTCTTAGCGTTCTTTAACTCTACTTTAAATCCGTTTCTTTACTGCTGGAAGATAAGTGAAGTGAGACGAGCAGTAAAGCAGACAATAAGACAAGCAATCTGCTATGCATAGGGTAGACCTATTTTAACGTTGGCATGTACTGTTTCTTCTATAGCTTATTTTAAAAACTATAGACGTTAGGAGAGAAGGGAGGATAAGCCATTTCATGATGAAAAGAGGAAGGTAAAATATGAAGAACTACTTCTAACTATATGTTTTATTCGAATAATCTAGCGAACAAGTAACAGGTGAAAAATTGTGGTACAGTAGCCATAACAAAACAATAACATGTCTCCAATCTGTGCATTTGTAATTAAATAGTGAAGGCTATTATTTGGAATAAGAATGTGTTCAGGATTTTTCTTTGCCATCAAAACTTGATGAGATATGTCACTTTAGCTCAGAAATATGGTTTAGTGATAACGTGCTGTAAGCGGAGCCAGTCATTCGATTTTGTCAAGATTGGGAATTAGCCATAGTGTTTAAAACTATTTTTTGTAAATTAAAGATGCTGTTTCCTGTGCACTTCATTATACTAGCTGAAGCAACAAAAAGGCTATGTTATCACTCGATAAGCTGTCAAAAAAAAAAAGAAAAGAAAAGAAAAGAAAAAGCTGTAAGGCAGAGTACAAGAGACTACTACAGATATTTTCTTCGAGTCAGTAGTGGAGCCACTTATTACGAAAGAGGAATCGAGAGACAAATGAATGTAATCACCTGCTGTATACATAACAGCTTTAATTGTTATTATTGTGATGTTTTACAATTAAACGATGACCCAACAAAAAAAATTTGACTAACCTAACTTAATGGTTTATAAAGCATAAAATATAAAAATATATTTTTTTAGCCTTGTGCTTTGCGCCTATGAAATGACTGAATATTTTTATTCGGTAGCAAAACCGTATTATAGAATAAAAAAACCCTGGCATAGTTTTTTCAAAAACAAAAACGAAACAAATTTTTGGCGTAAATAACATAGTATTGGTGACCATAGATTCATCCAAAGGAATTTTTTAAACAGACCGATTGACATCTGCGCTGCAACCTTTGTTTCTCAGTCTGCCGTACGTATGTGATTATAATTCTGACAATTTCCGATATCACAATATTGGCATAAGCACTTCGTCATCTGTCAATAGCTTTCAGGGAAGGTTTTCCTTCGTCAAACACTCATGTATTCATCATTTCTTTGGAAACAATGGTCACAGGGAATGTAAATTTGTCCCCTTCAAACGATGCCATATCTTAAATGTCGTTTATCAATTTAATAAACAGATAACTAAGACAAACACCATTGTTAGGTTGCAAACTTCCGCCTTGAAGCCAAAGATTATTTGCATACAAAATTTTTGTCAACAAGAAAGACAAAAACAAAATTCATGTCTGTACGGAATTTTAGTTCCAGATAACCCATGAAGTGGTGAATAAATGACTGTGACTATATGAAAATCATATATGTGAACTGCGGATAAAGTCGTGAATAGAAGGGATCTTCGCGATAATGAACCGTCGATCGCCAATCTGTAGAAAACAATATATCCGACATAACACACTCGCACACCAAAAGGGGTAACGAGAAACACAAATAAAAAACATCTGAACCTCACATGACAGAAATAATTAAAAGGCCTTAAAAAACCCAAACAGAAAAAAACGATCAGTGAAAAAGAAAATAAAAATCCATTAAAGGAAAGCAAAAGTTTAGAGAAGAAACGACGAAAACAGGGGAAAAATCACGGGGAATGATGAAATAAGTAGTGCAAAGTATGATTTAAGCGCCCAACGTCAGCATTTGCGTTATGTGCATGCGCCGCATTTTTTTTTTTCCTGTCTGTTTTGATTTCCTTGCATGATGAAAACAGAAAAACTTTAGAATCCCTATTGTTCATTCTAATCTTTGGTTTATTCAGGACAGCCACGCGGACCATCGAAGCGACCTTTTCACGTTTGACGAGTACCTTCCATCGTAAGGAAAAGGAAATGAATGTTCGGGATACGAGACGCAATTCTTCTCCAACAAGTCTACGAACTTGACAAAAAGAAACGTTTCAAAAATACTGCGTCTCGTGAATTTAATCCGGCACCATAATCCTCAATTGTAGCTGTAGACTGTCTTTTTGATGTCATCGGCCAAATAATAAATTTGACGCTTGTGTAGTTAATTGCTAATTTAAGAGGACTTTAATCGGTGTGCAATGCTTTTGTTTAAATAACCAGCTGCCAACAGAGTTTTTCACTATTCAACACATATTCATATCACGTCCAAAACTTTTCTCTGAATCTGAGTGACCCCACTTTACAACTAGATTTTAAAAACTGAATAAAGGACTGAAAAAATTTGATATTGGAGGATGATTAGCAAACAGATTCGACCCTTTTTTAAATTCATCTATTAAGGAATAGATGGAGAGATTATGGTAACATCAAATTTCGTTAAGGAAAAGGAAGCGGCTTCCTGTTCAAAGGCTGCTGTAGCACTGATGTTCGTGTTGTGCTTCATATTAGTTTTCTGTTCAGTTTCGGACTGTTCACCACTTAACTTGAATGCAAAAAAAAATAATAACAATGATTAAAAAAAGATCTAAATAATGCGCAATTTCGGCAAATTATCGATAAAGAAAATGGTTTTAACCGATGCACTTTTGTTCTTACGAATCATATGCCATGACCAATCACGGGACGCACAGCGTTTAATCCGTTTTGTGATGAGCATGGGTTTCTTTTGTGGATTAGAAACCTCCTTTTAAACAAAAAACAAAAGATAATTTGTGTAACTGAAGAGGTAACAGCAGTTATTTCTCATAGCAGGCCTTCCATTTTCTACGTAACAGATTATTTGCACGGATATCAGTCTACAAGCCTGAACGTAAAACACATGATGATAAAACTGAAGTTTAACAAAATGAATGTAAGTAACTTTGAGGACGCATTTAACAATTTTCCAAATCAGTGTTTTTTGGCCCAAGCAAACCGCAATTCAAGTGGGACTCAAGGCAAACACTTTCGCTTCAGCTCACCATCAACGCAACAGCCGTTGCTTGTCCATGGATCATATTTCTAAACATGTTAGTGATCTTAGCAATCAAGAAAATAAGAGAGCTACAGAAAAACTCTAATATTCTGATTACTCATTTGTCCGTGACTAATCTTTTAGTTGGCGCATTTCAATGCCACTTTCAATCGCTGTGGAGGCGTTGATTCTTCGGGAACTGTATCAGAGCCCTAAAGCTACCCAACTCCTCCGAAGGAAAAGAACGAGAACTTAACCGAGTTTATTCAGCACTTGAATCTAATGGTTATCCATCGAATTTCATTAAAAACATCCAGGCCAAAAAAAAAAAAAAAAAAAACCCGACGCTCAACAGTGTTGTCCCCGGAGGAACTTGTTGGCACATTTTTCAAGATGGTCGAGGCGTCCGAATCACGCAAGTCGTTCGCCTCTCTTCCATACATTAAAGGCGTAACAGAACCTCTCACTCGTGTCCTCAAAAAACACGACATCACAGTGGTGAACAAACCACTCATCACCCTCCAACAACAGTTCCCGGCTCCAAAATTTCGACCATCGTTGAATCGCAAACAAATGTTGTTTATAAAATTCCTTGTGGTGACTGTTCATGGTGTTATATTGGTGAGACTGGCAGGGCCTTCAACACAAGAAAGAAAGAACACCTCAGAAATGTGAAAACCGCGGCAAAAGGCTCAAGAATTGCCAATCACGTCTGGGCCAATAGTCACGCAATAGACTTTGATAATGCATCTATTATTGACAAAGGCGGTTTTAGAACTAGAAAAACACTAGAAGCATGGCATTCCAAGTTAACTCCCAATGCGGACAACAATTCCTGTCCTTTGCCCGGACAATACAACATTCTTTTTAACAAACATTCTTAGTTATCAGCATTTTTAATTTTTTACTTTGTACTTCACACCTAGTATTTCTTACCTTTTTATCATTTTACCCGTTGAAGGCTGTAGCGCAAACAGCCGAAAGCTCGTATTTTTTAAAAGTTTTAGCCAGAGATCGTTTTTTAAATTTTACAAGATGTTTTATCCTGGCTGCGGCCCCTCTATCTTTTCAGAGTACAAAGTGTTAGTAAGAAAAGGACGCGTAAAGAAGTATACTGTAATCGCTTGGATGGAAAGCGTCACAAAAGTGGTTTTATATCAAGCATTAGTTTTCGCTGAAACGTTAACAGTGGTTTATTTTTATCACATGATTTATATCGAGGTGCAGAGGCAAAACAGATGTCAAAACAGCCCATTGAGTGCTCTAAAGATTAAAGCAAAAATGGAAAGGAAACTTGCCTAAACTGCGTTTCTGCTGTTAATAGCTGCTTTCGTTTGTAGTGTTCCGATACTAGTAGTCATGACCTCGGTATCATACTCACCAGTTTTTCGCACGTATTCGGCTTTGCGATGGGTATATATCGGGATTCAAATAAACTCTCTAGCGAATCCCACCCTATATTTCTATAGAAACAAACGTTACAGGAAAGCTCTTCTACAACTGATAGGATTGGAGAAGATACAGGAAATAGATCGAATAGATCTCAAAGGGCGTTGAGCAAGGCGGAACCTTGTCACCGTGGAGCTTGTGGACACCGAAGGAGCTCGAAGCCTGAAACGATCACATTCATTTCCAGAGCAGACTCTTGTTTGCAAATTTTGGCTTGTGATCTTTAAGTGTCATGAATGCGTCTTTATCGGCTGTAGCGTCTACTCTGTCGTCGATTCCCAGTTTCGTCGCGATGTCTTTGTTTTCTTTATGGATTGCTTGTGTCGTCTCAGTCAGTGCTTTCTTGTAGGATTTCGTGATGCTTTTTTCTAGTAGATCGTTGTATGTCGATGGCTCAAGTTTGAAGAAGTTGGTCGTTTTGTCAGCGGCGATCAGTAGCATGGGTTCATTTTTGATGTGGTCGGTGTCTTCAACGACTATCTTCACCGACTCATCGAAAATACCGAGCAGTTTTTACGTAGAATTCGCTGGAAAGCCCACTTCTTTCTCAACCCCGACACGGCCTCGCCCTCCAAGGAAACTTACGGCTTCAAATCAACCAAGAACCCGC